TTGTACTAATATTTGTGTGGATTGTCTTGCGAAAGCGACAAGAACATAACTTTTTTTGCTTTTAAATATGCTCATTAGTTCTATATTGGTTTTCATTTGTGGATGACATTTTTCCGCAATCTAGATAAATGAAATATGGTATTTTTAATGTAAAAAAATAATTATATCGTTTTGATATGTTTTTTTGTAACAAAAATTGAAAACAAATGTTAAATATGATTTCTTGGTAACTCGAACTTATTAGTAAATGAAAGATTAAAAGATTGGATACATAATGAGAGACTAAAGAAACATGTGAAAAATGAGGAGCATATGACTAACACGAAGACTTGGAATGAGTTAAAAGTTAGATTTAAACTAGTTATTGATACATAATTCTAATAAGAGATTGCGAAAGAAAAACAATCGTTAAAAACAAGATTTATGTAAAATAATTGTTTTTTTTTTTTGGCATTTCGAGAATCAAGTGAAAAACTTTATCAAAATAGTAATGATATTTTCTTACGAATGATTAAGAGTACTGCTGAATCTGATGTGATTATGCATATCATATTAGGCGCATCCAAAAAGTCATGAGATACATCATCACTATCTTGGTCATAACATTAAGAATGAGATGATTTCTCTTCTCGATCATAACGTTAAGCTTCCTATCACACATGTTACTAAAAAGGTCAAATATTTATCTATTATTTTTGATTGTGGACTTGATGTGAATCATCAAATCAAATGAATATGATGATGTGATGAATGAATATGTCAAATAAAAGGATAAAACTAGAAGATAATTTCTTAGAGTTTTTGAAAGAGGATGATATATAGGGATTAGGCTTCTTTAATGACGTAATTCTATTATTCTTGCTCATGATAAAAATAGAAGATAATTTCTATTATCTTTGCTCATGATATAGATGTTGATGCTATAAGCGTCGGAGGATTAAAAAAGATAGGTTGATGAAGAAAATGATCACGAAGAAGTAATTCAGAAATTTGAGATTATTTTTAGGATTAAGTATTTTTTTGGTTGTTGTGGATAATTGCAATTACTTCTTTGAGAGATAGATTTGAGCAAATGAGAAAATTTGAAACTATTTTTGGAATCTCATTTAATTCGGTGAGTTACTTGATATTGTCGAATTAAGAACAAATGCACTAATTTCATAAAACATTTTGTCAATTGGAAGGAATATTAGTTACCTAGTTCTCATCATAGATGAGTCCATGGAAAAACCATTATTCTTAGGGGCTTGACAAACTAAATGGGCTTAGATTATTTTTTTTTTTTGTCACCTAAATGGGCTCATGAAAAAATCATCATTATCGAGGATTCAAGAGTCCCCTGTATTGTCACGGAACTTCCCAGTGAATAATATCTTCATTGTGGATTGTCTCAGTCAAGAGCTGAGAGTTGTTCATGATCTTGTGGTGAGACGAAAACTCAGATTCTGGAAATGTCAAGCATAGAAACCCCTCTCGGAATCTGCAAAAACATTCCAAATCTCATCTCTTCCTTCGTCGACACTTTCGTTGACTATTCCGTTTCCGGCATCTTCTTACCGCAAGATCGTAATCCACCTCACACTGAGATTCCGCAGACGAGGTTCGAGAAACCAGAGCGTCTGGTTGCAATCGGCGATCTCCATGGCGATCTCGACAAGTCCAAGGAAGCATTCAGGATCGCCGGGCTGATTGATTCGTCAGACCGATGGACGGGTGGATCCACGGTGGTTGTTCAGGTGGGAGACGTACTAGATCGAGGCGGAGAGGAGATAAAGATACTGTATTTCCTTGAAAGATTGAAGCGAGAGGCTGAGATATCTGGAGGTAAGATTCTGACTATGAACGGGAACCATGAGATCATGAATGTAGAAGGTGACTTTAGATATGTAACTAAAAAGGGTTTAGAGGAATTTCAAGTTTGGGCAGATTGGTATTGTCTAGGGAACAAGATGAAGAACTTGTGCTTAGGTCTGGAAAAACCAAAGGATCCTTACGAAGGTATTCCGATGAGTTTTCCTCGTGCTAGAGCGGATTGTTTTGAAGGACTTAGGGCTAGGATTGCTGCACTGAGACCTGAAGGTCCAATTGCAAAGAGATTCTTGTCGAAAAATCAAACAGTTGCTGTTGTTGGTGACTCTGTGTTTGTTCACGGTGGTCTTTTAGCTGAGCATATAGAGTATGGACTGGAGAAGATAAACGAGGAGGTTACGGGTTGGATTAACGGCTTGAGAGGAGGAAGATATGCACCGGTGTATTGTAGAGGAGGGAACTCTGTAGTTTGGTTGAGGAAATTCTCGGATGAGATGGCTCACAAATGTGATTGTTCAGCTCTTGAGCATGCTCTTTCCACCATTCCCGGGGTTAAGAGGATGATCATGGGACACACAATCCAGGATGCCGGTATCAACGGTGTTTGCGATAATAAAGCTATTAGGATTGATGTGGGTATGTCTAAGGGATGTTCTGATGGATTACCTGAGGTCTTGGAAATCCGCAAGGACTCTGGTGTGCGGATAGTGACATCGAATCCATTGTATAAGGAGAATCCGAATTCTCATTTAGCTCCTGATAGTAAAATTGGTCTCGGGTTGCTGGTACCAGCTGAACATGTTCCTAAGCAAGTGGAAGTCAAAGCTTAAAGGGGTTTTAGGTGTGCACTAGTTGATACTCTCTGTTTAGATCATCATTGATGCCTTTTGCAAGTCCTGCACTGGCGGATTCTTTGTATGAACATCAGCAGATTCTTCTGCCACAAAGATCTTCTTGGGGCTTAAAAAGAAAATGTAAAGCTGGTAACACGAACAATCATTGTCTGGAAACAACAGAGCATCATCTATAAGTTTCACCAGATCTTCGAGTCC